GGGGGGGGGGTGTGAATGTGCAAGGCACGTGCTTGCATCTTGTAGAGACCTCCAAAGCCTCATTTTCCCGTTTATTTTGTTTTGGTAGCTTTTTTTTTTTGCTTTTTTTTTTTTGCGTTCAAGTTTTCAGTTGTCTCGGGGAATTTATCCACCAGCTAATTTTGTTCCAACCTGCTGGAAAAGTTGTGTGTTGGTACTGACACACATTCATCTCCTGCGTGTGTCTCTCCCAGTAGTGCAGTCAGCCCCAGTAGCTGCTTCCCTTGCAGCAGGCAGCGGGGAAGAGGAGGAGAACATGCCTCTCTGTCATTATCAGTTGCATGCCTTGCAGCCTGTGGTTTCGGAGTAGCTCAGCACCATCTGCATGTAGACAAATGCCTCCTCCTGGGTGTAGCTGCCCGGCCCAGGCCCATCACGCGTGTTCTGCGTGCCATGTGCCCGCATGCAGAGAACTGAAGCGTTTGCTGCAGGACTGAAAAAGGTCCTTCAGCAATTGCTGTCAGCTGGTAACTGTCAGAAGGGTGGTTAGGCTTGTTACCCACGGGTAATGGGTGCTGGCAAAGTCAGTTGCTGTATCTGTAGACTGATGTGGTTTCATGACCAGTTTTCATCACCCCTTTTATTCTTCCCATTCCCCCCTCCTTTTTTTTCTTTTGCAGGGTGATCTTGAGTTCTTCTTAACTTGCTGGTGCTCAGCCTCCTCATGCCTCCATCTCCTTTAGACGACAGGGTAGTAGTGGCACTTTCAAGGCCAGTGAGACCTCAGGATCTCAACCTTTGTTTAGACACTAGCTGTCTTGAATCTGCCTCTTCTGCTGGTGAGAGCCGCTCCGGTCTGCTTGGCGCAGCTGTCGTGTCCCTGAAGACTGCTAATCTCACGTATATGCCCTCATCCAACGGCTCTGCACGCTCCCTGAGTTGTGGATGCAGCAGTGCCAGTTGCTGCACAGTGGCAACGTACGACAAGGACGCACAGGCCCAAACTCAAGCAAGCACCAGCGCTGGAGCCTCCACCACCTGTCCTGCCAACCAGATGGTCAACAGCAATGAGAACGCTGGCAGCTTGAGCCCCCTGGGTGGAGTTGGGAGCCCGGTCTCGGGCACCACCAAGCAACTCGCTAGCATAAAAATAATTTACCCCAATGACCTGGCGAAGAAGATGACCAAATGCAGCAAGAGCCACCAACAGAACCAGGGGCCTGTCATCATTGACTGCAGGCCATTCATGGAGTATAATAAGAGCCACATTCAAGGGGCTGTCCACATTAACTGTTCTGACAAGATCAGCCGGAGAAGGCTTCAGCAGGGCAAGATCACAGTCTTGGACTTGATCTCCTGCCGGGAAGGCAAGGACTCCTTCAAGAGGATCTTTTCCAAAGAAATCATAGTTTATGATGAGAACACCAATGAGCCAAGCAGAGTAATGCCTTCCCAACCACTGCACATAGTGCTGGAGTCACTGAAGCGAGAAGGCAAGGAACCCCTAGTCCTGAAAGGTAATCCTCCTCTTTGTGCACACGTAGTCTGAAGTTTGCTTTGCAGCGTGTGTTCTCTGGTGTCAGCCTTGCTGATGGTTGAACTTTGAAAGTGTCTTTTTATCTCTAGGAAGGTCTCTGTGCCTTAAGTCACTGGTGGCAAAGCAAATGCCAGAAAATGGCACTGGTAGCAGGTGGATGCTTGCTTTTCTCTGACTGTTGTCCTTGAGCAGTGGAGAGGGTGGTAACTGGACGGAGGAGGAAGTGTGCTTCCTGGTGTCTTCTCAGTGCAGACAAAACGTTTCCCCCAGTACTTGGTCTGAGCGTTTATAGCCCAAGGGGTAGATGCCCAGTAGGTATACTTCTCTTTTAGCTGGTCACACTGACCATTACTGAAGCTAAACTGAACTGGGAGGTGCTGGAGATGGGCAGTAGAAGACTAGAAGAAGACAGGAGAAAGGATGAGGGAGGTCACTTGGTCTGGGGCATTGCATCATGGACCAGTCAGCAAAACTTGAGGAGTAGTCAAGCTTTGATTTGGTGGTATGAGGTCACAGTCATGGACAGAGGGAGGTAATTAATCTAAAAAGTGGTCTGAAAGTGTTTTGTGTGCATGTATACCTGCCATATGTATATGGCTTTCCTATAACAGCTCCTGTGGTGTTTGGTCTATTCCCTAATTCTCTGAGAGGAAATGCACCCTGCCAATTAAGGCAGCATCCAAGGGCACTTCCCTTTCTTCACTTCATTCTGTAGCTCCTATTTATAACAACGCTGCCCTCTAGATTGCATCTCCCTTCCCCTAGGTGTTTATGCCCTGCAGAGGTATGGTTGGCAGAGACTGGCTGTGGCACTGAGAAACTATGGAAGGATTTGTTGCTTAGCTCGTGCCATGTTTATTTAATTCACTTAATTTTTCTGTACAGCTTACTACTTCCAACCTGCACAACATAACATGAGATATTTTAGCCCCTACCTGCTATTTAGTTTAATAGCTTTAAAGGAGCAAAGAGTCCTGTGAGATACTTCTCTGTGTGTGTATCTTGTGAAATCTTAAAATTGTACTGAGCTTTCTCCTTGTTCCCCATGAGTGTATGGTGATGCTGGGCTTGCTTTGACACTTGCTGCAGGTTCCCAATGTGCTTTTATTGAGCCTCTCAGGTCACGATGGCACTCTTTGTATGTAACAAAGGGAGTGGAGGCACTTTGCAAAGTGTGTTTACTGGTGAAGTACCATATTTCTGGTCCTTGCAACGACATGGTTGTAGTCCACAAGCCTTCCTGTATTTAAAAAGTGGGATGCTGAAAGTGTTTTTCCTGTGTTTCTCTGAAAGCACTGAAGCTCCTCAAAAGTAGACCTCAAACTGTCAGTTTGGTAGTACCTGCAGTAAGAGGCCCCGACTGAGATAGAGCTGTAGTGGGGCAGCACTGAACTGTCAGACCCCACTGGCAGGCTGTGGGCAGCCCCTTCTCCACTTTCCAATACTGGTTGCTGCCCATAGGTGCCGTGCTGGGTTTGAGTGCTTGTGGGTTTGCTTGGGCCGCTTTTGCATTTCAGCCATCTAAAGTCCTGCTTAGTAGAAATCCCCTCTCCAAACTCCTCTGCCAACAGAGGAAGCACAAATTCTTTGCTTTCGGTGTGTAGTGATGGGCTGAACCAGAGCAGACCTCACCTGGGGAAGTGTGTAGCAAGGAGCTCTCCCATCACCTTTAACTCCCTCTTTGAACTCTTCTTTGAAGTGGGGCTCAAACTGGGGGTTGAATGGAGCCAAGTGTATGTATGCTAAAGCAGCATTTAAGAAGGCGGGTTTTGGGCTGGAGGAGCAGTGCTGGAATTATTTACTTAGTTTCACTTGTTAGATAGTGTTTTTTCCACCCTGCTTTAGCAGGATGGGAGCTGGCATGTGCATGTCCCTGGGTTCAGGCACCGCAATGAAACGGGGTGTGTGGGAGGAGTAGCTGGGGAGCCCTCTTTGCCTCTGCCTGTTATTTTGAGCAATTTCTCCTGCTCGCTGCGATCCCGTCCTAATTTATTGCTGGCCCATCTGATCGCCCATGTTGTGTTTGCAAACACTGGTTGCTAGCCTGGCTGTCCAAGTTTATGTCCCCCCTGATCCGGTGCCACCTTCTCCATGTTTGGTGCTGCCTGTCAGCCCGTGGCCCCGTTGCTGTTTTTGTGGCGCGGTGTCGCGTTGTGGGGCGAATCTGATCGGCAAAGCCAAGGGTTGAGTTACAGCTCTGGCTTACAGTGGGCTGGGGTAGCGATGTGGCCCTGAGTGCATTTAGGTTTTAGGTGCCAGGATCTTTTTTTAAGCAGCAGATAAAGTCTGTGCGGCTTCCAAAGGCCAGGCTGCAATCTACAAATAAATGTATGTATGTGGCACCTAAAGTTCAAGTTAAAAAGAGGTGACCTGATTTATTTTTAATGTAGCAGACCAATATATAAACCAGCAGTATGACAAGAGCACATTGGGGCTTTATGTATGCTGTGATATGGGGGGATTTTAAGACCTCTGTTCCTTCCTTATCTGTGTCTTTGCTGCTTCCCTTAATATGGAGCCTTTTTTGGGTCATAAATACAACATTTGCATAATTTTGATTTAAGCTCTTCAGAAGTGAAGATTTGCTTATTTCTTCATGAGGCACAGCAGTACTTGAAGACAGGCATAAACCCCTTATTTAAAAAAAAAAGATGTGGGTACAAAGTGCTGCTACATGGGATCCAGCAGCCTAAGCTGTCAGGGCTGAAGCTGCTGCTCAGTCTGCTTGTACAAAGCAAGAAGTCATGTTTGCCCCCTGCATCTGCATATCCTCATGCTAGGCCATGGTATTGCATGTTTACTGAAACCTAAAGGCCTCTCTTTCTGTGGGTATGTGGGTTTTTTGTTTGCTTGAATTTTATTTTTTTTGCTTAGTATTGGGAAGGAGGGGCAGAAAAAAAGTGTCCCTTCTGCCTGATGGCAAGCTTATCCTGCATTTGGGGAGGGAAAGCACAGCAGTGTGGCTCCAGGTGGGCTTTCCAGCCCTGGCTTTCCTTGGTGCTGTTGTGTCCCTTTCCCTTCTGTTTCACTGGTGTGGAACCTCTGCCTTTTCTGAGCTCCTCGGCTCACAGCAGAAGTGGTCTGGAGCCTTGGGGCTTTGTGTGCTTGAGTTTGCTACTGGGACCTGAAAACAGGAAGTAGAAAACTCATTTGCATTCAGGCTAAAAGTAGTATTTTACCCAGAATGAAATGTTTAGGTTTTGAGTTCAGTGTCTCTTTTCCAAGTGAAATCTAAAACGAAACAAAAATGAAGAGCATAAGCATCCATGCCAATACAGTTCAACAGCGTTTGACACAAGAGGAGTTGTCTTTGTCTCTTTGGCTGGTGTCTGGCAGTTTTATTTTCATCTTGTCCTTCCTCCTGTGCCTTTAAGCCCCGGTAGCAGGAGCCTTGTAAACCTGCTAAAGTCTTGTGTTTAGTTTTTAAAGGCTTCTATGTTTGACTGCAGGGGAACACCAAATTCAAAAGCAGAGGTGCAAAACATAACTTGGCAAATAGCTAACTTTATATTTTTCCCTTGCAAGCTGTAAATTAATGGCTGGACTACTGAAAGGGGGATGGGGAGGAACTGGCTGGTGATGATAAGAACTGGTTGCTTCTCTATTCTGGTCTGAGGAGCTTATTTAAGCTCTGGCTTTCAGTCTTCTCATTGCTCGTGTAACAGGGAAATAAATGAAGTGACTCACTCCCATTATAGCAGGGAGTGTACGACCTGCCAGCAGACCACTTCATGCCTTCTGCCAGGGTCCAAGAATAGATTCAGATCTCTTACCACACCAAAGTTGCGTATGAAAGTTGAAACAACTACAGAGGGACCAAGACACCTATAAAAGGAATAAGTATCTGTTTTGTGTTTGCCATGTTTGTGTAAAGTACTATGGTAACATTGGAATACCTGACCTGGTCACAATCTGTTGCAAATACATTATTAATTATTATCATTCAATATATAGTTTAACAGTGTTGGTGTTACTTTAAATCATAATTGGATTATGCTGCACAAGTGTATTTGAGAATAAAACTTGATGCAATGGTCAACAAATCCAGCTGACTCACTAAACATGTGCCTGGCACTTACTTCCACCAGAGATCTCCACTGAATAATTATTAGGTCATGATTTTAATAGGGAAATGTGTATTTTTAGGTGTTAATAATGCATGTGAAACGTCCAATGTGTTGAAAACTGTAAAGTGTATTCTCTCTGTGCTGCAGAGGAAGTCTGGCCCCATCAGTCACGGGGGGGGGGAAAAATCCACTGACTCTACTAGGGCTGAGATTTTGCCTTCAGTTTTCAGACTCTGATTGCTGGAGCTTAAGGAAGTATCTCTCCACTGGAATAAATAATCTTGTTAGCCATGATGCTTGAAAATTGGTTGAGTGTGTCTGTGCCTTTTGCTTATAGATAAATCGGGGCAATGGTGTGGCTGAAGATCAGTCTTTTCTGTACTTTGAGGGGATGCTTCTGTGGAGGTGTGTACCTTTACAGTAATGGAAAGTGTAGCATGTCCTCCCAGGTGATGGCATTTGAGGGTTTGAAGGGCTGGCTTGCACAGCACCTGCCATATCAAGAGAACAAAGCTGCTGCCTTGGAAAGAGGAACAGGAAGGAGATTAATTTTTTTTTCAGTTTTTGTTTTGGCTTTCTAGTTTTCATAACCCTTGGAAACCAAACTAAGAGGCAAGAAGCAAACTGTTGCATTAGGTAAATACTTCTGATGCTTGTAAAGAAAAAAATCTGTCTCCAGCTCTGTTTAAACTGGGGGGACATCCCCTGCAATGTTCCTGGTGGGTCGATATTTGGTTATAATTAGCTGAATGCCTCATGTACTACCCTTACCTGGTTGGAGGTGAGACATTCTACTAGTAAAATCTTTGTAGTTTGTGCTGGTGTCTTCTGTTTTGTTTTTAAGTGAGCACAGCCTTTTCAAGATGATTAGGGTGAAGGAGTAGCTGTATTTGAGGTTTGAGTAGTGTATGGA